GACTCAGTCTCGGAATTCGGGTTCTTCAGCAGCGCGGTTGGGGTGTCCGCCCCGCTGCGTCTGCCGCGCTGGCAGCCCCTCTGGCCACAGCGCTTGAGGGACCCGCACAGCTTGGCACACCCCTTCAACCCCACTGCCGCACAGCCTCTACCGCACGATGCAGCAGCAGCGCCCACTGCACGTCCGGCCCAACATGGCCTAGGTGCCGCCTCCACCAGCGCCTCCAGGTTGATGTCCGTCTCCGCGGTCACGTAACCGTAAGCAGGGGCATGCACAGCGTAGTTGCCTTCGTCGGTGCACGGTGTGTCCCTGCACAGGTGCGCCACCTTGTCTTGTGAGTCCTCCAATAGATTGCGCAGCCGTCGCGAAGTGGTCGCAAGCACCTCGCGATACGGCCAGGCCACCCCTGCCTTCTTGTACTTGATCCCAGTGTTCAGGGGCGGCCTCTCCAACCTCGCGGCCGTGTCACCCACCTTGATGATCAGGTGGTGTCGCACTTTGTCAGGCCCCTTGGCGCGGAGCTGGGCGTAGAAATCGTTCTCCACGGCAATAGCTGTGGCTGGCCCTCGAAGCTCTGGGACCACTCCTTCTTCCGCAGCCGCAACCTGGGGTCTAGAGGTCGGGCAGCCCCATCCCAACGCTCGGCCCACGCAACGGAGCGGTGCGCAAACCAACATGTCGACTGCCGATGCGATGGAATGAAGACCGTAGCCCAGGCCGATGACGAGGGCCACGATCAAGCCCGCGAACGTCGTCCAGCACAGCAAGGGCCAGCCCGTGCCCAAGGCCGCGTAGCCCACGGTGTTGCGCCCACTCCCGACCAGCCCGCCTCCGCTCCACATCAAGTCTGACCACTGGATCTCCTGCGGCGGCAGGTCGGTGATCCAGCCCCCGAGCCAACTCACCCCGACCTTGATCCCTCCGAAGCTGAACCAGCCCCGCATCTCCTCCTCCTCCTCCTCCTCCTCCTCCTCCTCCTCCTCCTCCTCCTCCTCCTCCTCCTCCTCTGGCGCGGCCCCAGCATCCTGATCGTCGGCACGCTCCGCCGCCGACCGACTCCGCAACGCTGGGGGCTCCCGACGCCGGCTCGGCAGCCAGCTCCACAGATCAGCTCGACGTCGACGTGGGCTGCTCTCTCCGCTGTCGCCTGGTGGCGCAGCTCGCCCCTCTGGGGGTGGAGGCACGGCGGCGGTCGCCGCTGGGGAGGGCTGGCGCCCCTTTCCTCCAGCGGGCGGGGTCGCCGCCGGTCCAGGGGGTGGGCCTCGCCCCTTCCCGGCGGCGGGCGCTGGCCCTGTCGGGGAGGCTGCCTGGCGCTGCGACCCCTCAGTGGCCGCCGCCGCGCCGCGGCGCCGCTGGTCCTCTTCCAGCGCCCGCAGCAGAGGCGCGTGCGCCCCACCGTTGGCCAGCTCGGCCTCCGCGGGCAGCGCCCTGTCCGCGACTCGGGCCGCGGGGGGCAAGGCCGGCGTGGCCGGCTGCGCCCGCCACCTGGGCCGATCTCGGCGGCTGCCACGGCCCCGATGAGCATGGGCAGCAGCGCCATCATGTAGAAGCGGCCTCCGCCGCCTCCGCCTGCCAGCGGCCCTCCTGCGCTGGCCTGGCACCGCGGCACGCCTGGCGCCTCACCTCCACATGGCTCTCGGCCCCTGTGCGGCCCCTGGGCCGCCGGGCGGGTCGCGCTCCCCCGCGCGAATCCCCCTTTCAAGGGCCCGAGAAGGAACTTGAGCCCCAGAGGGCCGCGGAGAGGGGGAAAGGGACAGACAGCAGGAGAGACCCTTCCCCCTCACCAGGCACTTACTCCTTGAAACCCTACGTTTTACGCGCGTTCAAACTCTCACGTCTCGCTGCAGGCGTCGCCCCGACAGTTGTCCATTTGAGACAGAAGGCCAGCTGCCCCGCTTGCGCCTACGGTACAGGGAACCCATGTGTTGGGACACTCTCCTTCTCCTCCTTCAAATTCGAAGTTGACACGCGCGAGGGAGACTGCGGTCGAAGTGCAACTCATTGAACCCACCGCCAATGCTGATCATTGCAATGCAGCGTTGACAGATAAATCCAGCGCGAGTGCTCGCTGATTTCTTCCGAGGCAAGTGCCATAATTCAGCGGCGTTACATAAATGACCTCACCTTCGGCGCGTCCTCGCCGCCTCGCCTTCGGCGGAAGGCGAGCGGAAGGGGAACGGACGGCGGCTCCGCCGGTGGAAGCCGATGGAATGCCGGCGGAAGGCGGCGGCCGCAAGTGTGAGACATCAACATGTGTTGATGCAGGGTTTGTCGTCGGCGGCGAGCGAGGGGGGAACTGAGAAGGAGAAGGCTTTCACAGAAAGCGGCGGGACTTCTCAGAAGCCCTCGCACCTTCTGAGAGGTGTTCTGTGTCTTCGGGAAGGCTTAGGAAACTTCTCAGCAGGCTGGTGGACTTCCGAGCCTTCTGAGAAGGCCCGCCCCTTCTCACTTATCCCCGGGCGCGCCGCCTATGTGAGGCATGGTCGCATCCGGAAAAATCACGACTGGAGGTGTTAGGCCGCTTGTCCTCCTGTCGGGGAACGCACTCGAGTAAGCCGGAACTCGGGTTCGCCGACGCTTGTTGGCGAGAGCGTCCTGGATTTTGACGGTCCTGTCTTCGTGGGATGTATGCAGCGGGAGTTCGCGGCAAATCTCAGATTGGGCGTCGTCATGTTCATGATGGCCCCGTCAGGCCAGCCCGAGCCCCCCGCACCCGAGCCTTACGTCTCCCCGATCCTGGCGCTCTTTCCACCCCGATGCCTAACCCATACCCCCCCTGTCGCCGCGGCAACCTCTGGGTCGGGCAGTAGCTTTCGGGCCGCAGACGCGCCGATCGGCACGCGTACTCCAGATTTCGTAGTAAAGGGAGGGGGGTCTCATTTCGGGGGGGGGTCTCTTCCAGGCTATCTTGGAGGGCCTGGGGGGGTCTGGGGACGATGTTTTGGAGGGTTCTCCCACGGGGGGGTTCTAAACCCCCTCCCTTTTATTACGAAATCTGGAGTACCCGCCCTTCCGTGGGCAGCCCGCAGCCTACGGTTCCGAGCCGAGCCGAGCCGTATTATGATAATCCAAC